GTGGTCAACACAATTTTGGGTCCAAATGGAGAAGTTTTCAGCCTCAAAACATTTACCTGTTTCCGAATTTGGACATCGATTAGCAGAGCAGTTATATTTTAATCTCAGACTACCCGCAACTAAAACATTATCACTGAATACCTATGAACGCGATTACTCGCATGTTATTCGATTCCGGAAGGTCGTCAGATTCTTGAGCATCTTTAAGGAAAAGGTTGCATCACCATTCGGATAGTGCGATCGTCTCTCCACCGTACGTAGTATGCTAAGCGTAGTCGGCACATGAACAGGTATGTAGCCCACCTGTGAAGACATTCGAAAGTGGTTGGATTTTTTTCATTTCATGGCGTTTACGATACCTTACCGTTCATTGTTAAGGTATGCGCTATTTAAGCATGAGTTATTCACCTGTGACCACACAACGCAGCTAGACGCTCATTCAATGCAACAGGCCATTATTGCGTCTTTAAGTCCTCTGGCAGCCAAGCGCCACACATTTCTACAGAATGCTCTCCCACTTTTTATATTTGTTTTTTTCCTCTGGGTAGGGCATCGCAATACTGTTCATAGCGTAAAACTGCTCGCTCTGAAGGCATCATCTCGGTAAGCTGCCTCAAACCTTTGAATGCAGTATGCACAGAACGCCATTTGTTCATTGTCTATGCCAGAGGACGCTAAGAACCAGCCATTTCATGAGTGGTTGAGTAAGTATTGCCTGCCATGCCTACAAATCGGTTGAAAGGACGGCTTTCCCACCAAAGTACGCATGAATAAAGAGGACAGACCTTTTGTTTTCACGTGCCAGGCCAAACTTAGCGGGTGTTGCACCAGAATGTGACGCACGGGGATGCAAAATAACTACTCCACGGGGCGTTGCGGAGTGAGTCGGCCCACTACAAAGTGTTACAGTGATCCCAGAAGTCTTTTATATGTCACGGTATATCCGAGAAGTCTTTTGTCATTCTTTACCCCTTTACTGGTGTTAAATCTGCAACGGAGATTCATCTCTCTTTCTCTTTGCCATCTCTTTGATCCTGGAACTTACGAAGACATTTTTGACCCTTCAAAAGACACTTATAGGATTGCCGCATGACACTCCAAAAATTATCACATGGAAACACCACTCGAGGATCGCCCAATGACCGTTCAAAGATCATAGTAGGAGCATGGAAAACACAGCACTGCCAAAAGAGTACAATAGGCTGATGGGAAATAAGGAGAGTTACACTGAAATCTCATTAAGCCTACTTTAGAGTGTTTTGTCTTTTGTTTTTGACATGAATTAGGCACCACACAAGTCTTCTTTCGGGCCAGCAGCTACGCTGACTACGATCAGTCTGTTCACAGGCGGGATGGGGAGGCTAGAGCTACGCCTCGGCACTAGTTAGGCCAGCCACGACCTATGTGCTCCGGCGACAAGGACCGACACGCAGTTTTAGGCGAGATCTGCGGTTACTCTGGCATAGTATTACTTTGGCATTTTGGTGGCTACGCTGGCTCTGGTGAACCCGGCCACAGCGTCGGCAAAGTAAGGCCGGTGATCACTGTGGCTCTGGTGACCCCGGCCACAGTGTCAGCAAAGTAAGGCCGGTGGCTACGCTGGCTCTGGTGACCCCGGCCACAGTGTCAGCAAAGTAAGGCCGGTGGCTACGTTGGCTCTGGTGACCCCGGCTATAATGTCGGCATAGTAGGGCCGGTGGCTACGCTGGCTCTGGTGACCCCGGCCAAAGCGCCGGCAAAGCAAGGCCGGTGAACACTCTGGCTCTGGCAACACCGGCCACAGAGTCCGCTCTGTGCAGACTGCCGCTGCAGTGGTCCTGCTGGATTTGCAGCTATAGCAGCAAAATGGGTGGATCCTGGTGGCTCTTCCGTTGTGCGTTATGGCCATGGTATTCGCTTTTGTCATGGGATGGGTCTCGCCAGAGCGTGGATTCCTGGCTGGCTCCGGTGAGCCCGACCGCTTCGTATTATATTCTGATCGATTCTGGCCAGGCCTGTGTATATATATATATATATATATATATATATATATATATATATACATTCTTAATATAATGCATATAGATGTAGCATGTCATTTAGACCGTGTTACACGAAGTGGCGCTGTCCCGTAACATATAAGCCTCTCCGGAAGTCTACACATTTCAGTAGTCCTCCAGAACAAAATTGTGTTTGCGGTATAGCGTCCAGAAAAAACCCTTCATTCATTCCAGACTGCCTATCACCATCGAATACAAAAGTGCTCCCGGATTTCCCACATCAAGCAAATGCCCTCAGAGGTCGACGGTATTTCAGCTTCGGCTATGGTCTGGTCTTTCCATCTTGCCATCATTAGCCGTGCTTGAAAGCACCGTTCGTGACACTAAGCCTTCTTCCGTGCAAATTACGGGATTGCCCAGAATTATGCGAGACAGATTGAAACCAAACCCACCAACCCACAGCTGCTATCACGATGTTACAGTGTCGTCAGGGACTGTAAACGTCTGTAGTGTCATCAAGAATAGAGAACGATGGATACGCAACTGAATCTGGAAATATTTTAACGAATATAAGTATTGAGTTCAGCGGAGACACCACTCAAGCCCAGCGTCATTATACAGACATCACTGCATCTCCACAATGCTGTCACGGAGTAACGCTGCGCCTCCTCATCGTCGTTTTGCAACCGTCTCAGCATCCCGAAATATCTCCACCGCGTCCTTCGGAGCCATCACTGACCCCACAGTCGTCCATGGAGCCATCCAGTACAACGCAACCACACGTGGCCATCACAGAGGCTTCACCTCATCTCTACAGCGGCGGGGCGGTGGTGGCGCCTCCGCAGCAGGGCGAGAGTTCGGGGGTCCTGAGCCGGCCAGCGGTGGCGGCGGCCGTCCACCTCCTCCGCCTTTGTCCGACCCCGGTGCCGGCCTGGCCCGGACAAGCGTCAGCACCGGCCGGCGGCCTTCGTGTTTTCCAGCGGGCGTTCCGGGGACTCGGCCGCCGGCCCCAGCAGCTGTTCCGCCATGGCCGGCAGCCACGTTACACGGGAGGGGGCGGAGAGCGGCGACTACCGGCTACTGCAAGCTCCGATAGTATGCTGTTGTCAATAAACCAGTGGGTGCTATCATGAGCACGACTATTTCCGGTTTGTAATCATCTCAGATGATGAATTGCATGCGCATAACTGTTATTAATAAGACCCAAACTGAAAACCTGTACTTTAAAGGCTCAGACCAGCCTCAGCTTGCAAAAATAGCATTATGGCTACGGCGAACCTCAAGCCATTTCCGTCCGAAGGGACTCTGTCGTCGTACCCTCCTTCATCCTCCGCCTCGTTTTGAGACAAATCTCGAGTCACGGATTTAGGAATTGTGCAAAGTAGTTTGATTTATTATTATTTATACCATCTATTTTGAGGAAAAAGAGCCAACAAATTTGACACATTCAAAGAACTGCCATGCAAAAGCACGGAGCCTAAACATCTGGTTTGACCTGCCGGCGTTATACGCGACTTACTTTTACAGCGCTCAATACTCAGGCATGAGCAAAGAGATCATACATGTTGAGTTATTGACAACTGACAGAACGGCAACTTCAGTTGCCATGGAAAAGGTGCACCGCCGTGCTTTCAGGAACGGCAACTCCAGTTGTCATATGACAGTTGTCACCTGGTCTGCTGAGAGCCAGACCTCCAGTTGTCATATGACAGTTGTCACCTGGTCTGCTGAGAGCCAGGTACCTCCAGTTGTCATATGACAGTTGTCACCTGGCCTGCTGAGAGCCAGGTACCTCCAGTTGTCATATGACAGGTGTCACCTGGCCTGCTGAGAGCCAGGTACCTCCAGTTGTCATATGACAGTGTCACCTGGCCTGCTGAGAGCCAGGTACCTCCAGTTGTCATATGACAGTTGTCACCTGGTCTGCTGAGACCAGGTACTCCAGTTGTCATATGACAGTTGTCACCGGTCTGCTGAGAGCCAGGTACCCCCAGTTGTCATATGACAGGTGTCACTTGGCCTGCTGAGAACCAGGTAGCTCCAGTTGTCATATGACATGTGTCACTGGCCTGCTGAGAGCCAGGTACCTCCAGTTGTCATATGACATGTGTCACCTGGCCTGCTGAGAGCCAGGTACCCCCCAGTTTGTCATATGACAGTGTCACTTGACTTGCTGAGAGCCAGGCAGCTGCAGCCTTCGCCGCCGTCCCGCTCCGCGACGCGGCAGCGCTGCGACACGCGCAGCTCTCTGTGGCACGCGCAGCGCCCGCACGGAAAGGGCGCATCACGCGAGGGCCCGCGCCGCAAACGCACGTGTGCGCCTCCCCCGTGGTGGCTGAACTCCGCTCGACCGGACTGGCGCTGTGGCGCAATCCATCCGCAGCGCAGCTCCAGGGGCGGAACGGCGCTGCATAAGCAGGCAGAATGTCAAGGCCAAAACGCCAAATGCGGTCGTCTCCGCGCTGGATTTTACGCGGGTTTGGGCTGGTTCAGCGCCATTTTGCAATTGGGCTCATCTCATCAGTTGGGCTTCTCGTCACAAGCTTCGGGCAGCCTGGCGGGACTTCCCAAAAAAGCCGACGTCACACAAAGACAGCTTATTTGCATCCGGGTAGCCCAGCGGGTGAAAATGGCGGGGAAGCACAGAGCCAGCGAGCAATAGCGATCCAGCCGACCTCAGCAGTCATCACATGAGCATGATGAGTACGTTCATTATGCAGAAACTGCTATCATCCCACCCACTGTTGGTGAGGTCGGGATCTAGTAGCCCTTGGGTGAATCTCTATACAATAGTGCGGCCGAAGCGCACACGCCATCATGCGCTACGCGTGCGCGCCACAGTTTTACAAACGTAAACGTCTTCATTCCGTAAACAGTGTGATGCGCGACCTACAAGCCTGGTCTCCGCCGAGCCAACAACCTCCCACCGTCTCTGCCTGCCGCTCACGCCGAAAGGCCGGCCTGTACGGGCGCCCAGCGCCCGCTGACGCCACCACCAGCTCTGCTCGCAGGGCAGCTTACTTTGCGGTCCAGCATCGCTGAGCTCCAGGCCAACCACGAGCGCCACTGCGAGGACCCGCCACATCGCGCCGGTTCTGCCGGCGGTGCTGGCCGCAGACTGCGGGTTGGCTGAGCTAGCCGGGCTGGCCGGCCGGCCCCAGGTCGGCCGCCGAGAGCAGCCGCCACTTACGGAACGACTGAGGGACGCGCGGCCAGAGGCCACCGGTGTTGGGCTGACTGCGGCTCTCGTGCCGCCGCTGCTCAGGGAACTAACTGAGGCGCACTGCTGCTTCTGAAGGCTGCTGGAAGTGACTCGGATCTTCGCCTAATCTCTGCTTGCCTTTTGTTTGCCAATATTTATTGCATAAGGTCATCGTCAGGAAATGGCTCGTTTTTTGCTGATGTTCTCTGTCCCTCTTCCCCACCGTTCTTTGGTGACTACGATGGAGATTGGAGAGGCTGGGGCTGTGGAATGGAAAGGTTGGTTATAACAATTTTTGCAAACACTGTTCGACATTGATATCTCCATGCAGCCATCAGGGAGAAATAGCAAAGATGTGTGAACGTAGTGCTGCAATAGCATCGTGGACCTCGCATGCAACCCAGCTGTGTCATCTGAGCCGGTTTTTTTCTGCAGCATTTCAATATGGCCATTGATGAGCGTTATATGAATGCCATTTGAAATTCCACGTCAGTGCCCTCCCCTCCGCTCTCAACCCGGATTGTTGCGACATGGTAGTAACACGAAAGTACCGAGGAGAAACCATCATTTTGACGTAAATGCAGCGGGTTACTCTTCCTCGAGTGCAAAACCACGAATCCTCCAGTTCTCGGCTTTTTGCGGTTGGCGTTAGACATCAGCCATCGGGCCAGACAATGATTTGAAGCCAGCCGCACAGCCTACACCGTAAAAATGACGAGCACTGAGGGCATTAGTGACCTCACTTAGCTGCCTACAATAGTGGATCCAGGAGCTTGTTCTGAACCTAGTCTGGAAAACAAGTCAGCTTAATTTAAAAATGCCAACTTCGCCCGTCATCGCAAAATGTTCAAAACGGCTGCCGTCGTCGGCGCATCTTTGTATAGTATCGTCCACTAATCTGTACTTTGCAATGCTGAAGGTTCGTTGTCTGTTGGCCCCTGGTCCGCAATGCATGACAGCGTTTAAAGATAGCGATAACGAAATCCGCCCCAAATAATAACAGAGTTCCAAAAATACCAAAAAGTCCGTTCCGACAACTCAGTTTTTCCATCTGCTGCCCTCCGATCCACTTACCCGTCGCGGGTTACGTTCGAGCCGCTTTATTCGGTTCGAGCTCCCTATTTGTCTTTTGACATGTATGACCTTCGGGGTCCTTGACATATATGACCTTCGGGTGGTGTGCAGCGGCGGCGCTAAAGGCCCAGTGACGTGAAAGGGTAGGACGGGCTGCGTCGAATACTACAGCACGTTAACCTGGAACTTCACGATCGGATGGCAGGTGTTAGAGCCCACACAACAAGCACTGCTTAGCGTAGCTGTGATCTTAGAAATGCATTTATTTAAAAGGCTTTGACTGCATTTGAGAAATATGTATGCGTTTCTGACCAAGTGTGCATGATATCAGCTTTTGAGTGTAATCCAAAAATGCCAAAATCAGGCTCGACTGCTAACTCCTGTTGTCTCCATAGGGCCTCAGCACGTCGCACGGGGGTGGCACGTACACGCTTGCTTCGCCATGCGCAGAATTGTTAAAAAATGACTGACCTGGTAACTATATTGTTTAAAAATAATGACAGGGACTGCGCCACGTCTTAAGTGGGGTTCGAACTGAGAAACTCTTCTACATAATTGTTCCTCGCAGTTACCTGTCATGTTCTTGTTAAGATGCAAACCCCTCCTTTCCCTGACCTTCATGCACGTGGAGTTGTGCAGCCTATGACGCGCCGCCAATCGAAAACCCACTCAGACATGCATGACGTCATAAACACGTCATACGAGCACCCCGCTTCACTTGCTGTGTTGTGCTTACGTTAAATAAAAATGTGGCCACTTAAAGGGACTGTTCCACATCTAAGGATATTGAGGTAAACATCAGCTATGATGAAGGAAGTCAACTTTAACTATTGGTACGCTGTTAAGTGCAAACAACTGCTCTAAATAACCCAATTTCACTAACTAAATTTGCTTCTCAACATGTAGTCGTCTCATTACGTCATGGAACGTTTTTGTGACATCCTAGCCGCTGCCAGAGTGGCCGCGTTAGAGTGCCCGCTGTAACAGACCTGAACATTACGCACTCTTGGCGTGCAAAACACAGCGGCTTGTGCAAATAGCATCAGGGGAGTGTCGTGAATGGGATTCGCATAGTTGGCCTTCCACTCGGTCTGCACACGGCCATGACGTCACTGGTGCCGAGACTTCGTGCGGCGCGGCCTCTAGCCGTGGGGCGCAACGCTGCGGGACAGCCGGAACATCGGAGATGTTCGCACAGATCATGAACAAACTGTCAGCCGGAAATCAATATGACCAGTGAGCCGATCACCTAGAGTTTTATGGCGAGCATGATGGCTTTCTTGGTAATCCCATGCCACTGGTCATTAAAAGACAGCGATAGAATTATACGAGATAGGACGCCCGGATCATCGGGCTCTCTTAGTATTGAAATTGTACAATATGCTTGCGGCAGGTGCGAATGACCACCGACCCAACCGCAGAGAACTGACCTGCACTGCACGTCCTGTCATGACGGTAAAGCCCTCTGTCGGCACTTGACCTTTCCCGCACCTGCTGCTACCAGCCGCAGTCCATGCCAGCCAAGGCCAAGTAATGAGCGTATGAAACGACTTGGGCCCTCCCCACCACCAGTAGGAGAATCGAAATGTAGGCGCTCGAACCAACTGCGCTATTGGAAAGCACTGCGGAAGAGAAAGCAAGGGAAATGCCAATTGTTATCTTTGTAGGCAGGCTGCCGTACCTGAGGATTGAGGAGAAGACATTGATGCCTCCAGAATAACAAAACGACATAATCAGAATGAAGATAAACAAATTATAACAAAAACATTGTTATGATGATTATGATGTCTGGCTGTCAGTTGGGAAGGAACTACATGCTAATACTCGGACATTTTTGAATATATTGGAGCGATTTTGCGAGTCTAGGACAGTACCATGTGGTCTAAAATAAAGCATAGAAAAACATTATCGACGTACTCAGGTGGCTAAGACTCGCGATGCATCTAAACTGTTAACTCAAGCCAACTAAAATACATCACTGGCCGTGCCAGTGTTGAGTTTCAATCCTACCGAAGTTTGTATAAAGAAATGCATTCAAATATCACAGTGTGGGAGTCCAGTCACGCTTCCCATATGGAACGTAGAGCCAATTCCAAACACAGGAAGGTGCAAATTTCGTGTTACTTTCTTGTGCCTCTTTCTAAATATGCTGGTCTGTTATTCTTGAGTTGTCTATGTATTGTCCCGAATGATAAAGCTACTGATTTTTTACAGCTGATTTTTCCCCTGCCTTTCCTTGCTCGACCCTATAGCTTAGCTCATTACAGCGCCTGCATTCCTATTCATCTTCTGGTGGTGAGAAGGCTTCGAGACTCTTTATCTGTCCATTGTTTGGCCTTTGCTGGCATGGACTGATGGCCGATAGAGGCAGGTATGGGATATTGGGCCGGTATATTGTATGGGAAAGGCCAGGTAACGTCAGAGGGTTTTATCATCAGGGTAGGACGAGCAGTGCCAAGTGTTGCCGAGCTTTCGACGCAAAATTCTACCACGATTCTACCAAATTCTACCAAATCTACCAATTCTACCAAAATTCTACTTCTTTCAATTCTATTCTATTCTATTCTATTCTAAAATTCTCATTCTAATTCAAAATTCTGGCACGGAGTACGCGATCGAATGATGGCGACACGATCCACGTGACAAGGTTTGGGGATTTATCTCTTAGAAATAAGGGGTACTGGAGTGCGAGGGACTTTGTTGTTGCTGTAATTGTATGGCTTACGTTGCTCGGCCTAAAAAAGCTATCACAGATTCATATCATGCTCTGCGCCCTGGTTAGGCTATTTATGATTGTACCCACCTGTCTCTTTATCGTTAAAGATAGCAATGCTTATAAACGTCTTAAGAACGCAACATACGCGATTCGACACTCACGGTGACTGTGCAAACACACAGGGACCGAGCACTGTCGGCCCTGCGCACAGGCACAGCACTAAACGAGGCGACCCCGCAGACAGGTGCAAACTGGGCTTGCCGGAATGTATGCAGCTACGGAGCAAGCAAGACCGGTCTCTCAGACAGGTAGCGACTAAGGAACTAATACTTCGAACTAAGGACGTACACGCAATAGTTCTAGGTAGGTGGAAAGATCCCATGCAAATACAAAATTTCTTCTACCTTACTTAGCCACCTACGAGGCAAAAATTTCTGCACAGATCGGCGCTTATGTCGTAAAAATTCTACGAACCAATTCATGTAGAAAGACCTTCGGGGGAGACAGAATGACCCCCACTCGAGCGCGTGTTAAGGTTTTGACGTGCATCATCATACCCATCATTGAATTAAACGCACTCGGTTGTCTGGTGACATATATCTGCCACCAGTAGATAATTCGTCATTGGTACGAAGACAGCCGATGTTCGTGCCATCCTATTGCGAATAAGTTTCGTGTACACGTCTTTGCTTTTCGTACCATTGTATTTTAATAGTTTATCGCATATGCCTGCAAACAGCATCATAAGGTTCTCTATAAAATTATGCGTAATCGGATCGCCAGCCATAGGCGCATTCCGACAACAGCTTTTCCATTATCTGTGCGAATGTTTCGATGTTGCGGCTGCCCTTCAGCGTTGCGTCGGGCGGCTAGCGGCCTGTCGCGCATTGAAGTCTCGATGCTGGTGACGTCACGCTAGCGTTAAACGAAGATGAAGCGAGAATCACCAGATGGTTTTACCTCTCTTTTCTGACCTTGGTTAAAACCGGTCTCTCCGATTAAGACCGAGGGTGTTTGACAGCATTCCTCTAATGTCGTTGCGCATTACCCGCAAGCTGACCTCGGTTGCCGACGCACATTCGTCCCATATGACTCCGCTGCTGCGTTGCTTCAG